TCATTTGTTTTAGGTTTTTAAAGTTTAATTTATTTTTATTTTATATATTTCAAAAATACTTCGATATGGGCTAGAATCTAGGGCAAGATAAAATAATGAAACTATTCAAGGAGAAGACAGCATGGGGATGGCAGTTGGAGAGTGCCAGGAAACCATGGTAAAGAAGTTGAGCCAACATCATCCTGAGAGTCTTGGCAGTAACAGCAAAAAGAGAAACCCAAGGGATTCCCTAATGCTTCTGTAAGGAAGCAGACCACATTTTCAAGGGAGGCGAATAACTCTAACTCCGTGTTCCAGGAGGAATCACCATAATGATTTTTATATCATGTACATTTAAAAAGACATAGTGGACAGGTGGCTCTTTGCCAGATGCTTTACCAGAAATGTGAAGCCATTTCTCATAAGAATCCTTAATAGAAACCGGACTCCAGGTTTTTACTTTTTCAGTAATAACAGATACATAGCACTTAACTGCTTTAATAAGGCAATTTTCCATGGTGCTGTCCCAGATAAAAGAGAGGAGCATATATAGGGAGGTGGGCTCGAAGAATTGAATTTGGCTTTTCTCACCCCCAACCCCACTGGAAAACAGTGGATGTCAGTGGAGGCCTTCCTAGTCAATTCTGTTGAAAAAGGAAGGAAGTTCCCATGCATTTCCCATGAACATGTCTTTTTGCCTGGCCATCCCAAAGCTCCTCTGGTCCCAGTGACTCTCCTTGCAGACCACTGTGCAGCAGGACCTGGGGGGAGTTTCAGAAGGTCATGGCTTCACTACATTTCTGGAGGCACTGGCAGAGGTGGCCACCTTGCAGACTGCTGCAGTGCTGCTCAGAAACCAAAGGCTGGGGGCTAAGGAACAAGAGCAAGAGATTTGTAATACAGTCCTGTAGGATGTCCTCCTCCTCCTTGTCATCTGCACAGGAGAATGACATTCTTTGTTAAATAGAGCCAATGTGGCAAACTTTTCTGGGTGTTTTCAAATGATATCTAAGCCAATTGAGGTATGAATCTGTCAGGAGACATGATTACAGGTATAAACAAAGTTTAGAAGTCGATTCCTCAGTAATAATGTGACATATATGATCTCAATGAGAAATTCAAGTCTCAAGAAAAATTCTTGGGACATAACTTGTTGGCTGACTCTGGAATTAGAATATGGGGTGGAAATCAGCTTAATGGAGAGTGAATTTTATTTTATTTTCCAATAGCTACCTGGAAGATAATTCAGAGTTGGAATCCTTAGTGATCCTTAGAATGCAGGTGTTTGGTTCTTTCAATTCAGAAGAGATTCGTATCCTTCAGACTCCAGTTAAATAATTGTTTATACGAGTTTCCTCTACTCCCACTTAATGAGGAGACTACCATCTCCATATAGAACTGAGACCAAGCAGTGCCAAGCCTTTCCTCAAAAGCATAGCTTGGAAGTGCTCAAAAGCCCAGATACATAATCAGTTGAGAACTCAGAGTCTTATATCATAATAAAACTGAGTAAAAACCATTGAGTGGCAGCAGCCACCCAGCAATGACACCTTTGGAAGGAATGAAACCAGAAAACCATAGAGTGGGAGATGAATTTGTCCAAGTTGGCACTGGGACAGAATCAGAATCAGAATCAGGAGAGGAGGCAGAGCTGGCAGTGGGACGCAGGAGGAGACAGAAGCATCCACTCTTTCATTCACTGGCTCATTCACTCATTCATCACACTCGTGATGAGAGTTTGATGTCCACCTGGGATTCTTTTAGACATTGGCCTTTCAAATCAGACACGTATTCCTCCAGGTGCTTGGAAAAGTATGAGAAAATACATGAAATTAAGATCTGCGTTAAACAGAAGAGTAGGGTTTGCAATAGTAGATTGGGTCAAAATTATGGAGAAACCTGAATCCCAGCCTTACACACAAGGGTTTCACCTTGATTCGTAGGCAATGCAGGTCGAAGAGCACCAAATTTTAAATAAGGGAATGAGATACATGGAGCTGTGAGTGGGTCTGTTTGGAGATGAGAACAGAGCTATGGCACGAACTTGGGATGAGTGGAGCTATTGCAATTGTCTAAGTCAGAGGTATTTATAGCTGGAACTAGAAGTAGGGACGCCATTGTTGAAGCAGAGAAAGCAAAGTCTTGGGGAACACTTATACCTGAACGTGGCAGGAGTTGGAGAAGCCAGAGGGGAGCCTTGGGGAGATGTCAGGGATAGAAGCTAAAAGAATATAGAGGCTGATTCGTTATGGTGCTGGTGTAGCAGAGGAAAGCAAGGATTGAGGATTGGCTATTTGAATTAGGTGCTGGGAGATCCTTTGTGACTTTCAAGAAAGTAGCTGAAGGAGTGAGTGGAACGCAGGAATTGGAAGCAGCATCTTCTATTCTTTTAAGAATTAGACCCTGAAGGGAGGAGAGAAGTCTGGGAGAAATTCAGGTATGTTTATTAGAAATGTTTTGGTGGCAAGTCTAAGGAGACAGTCCAAGGTTCAGGTATGGACGAATTCAGTGTTCCATTGCTGCCTCTTGTCTGGACTCTGCACTCCCCGTAAGGAGGATTCATTTCCAGGTTCCATATGGTGACAAATTAGCTGTACTAGTTTCAGCTTTCTATCTTCCCAAATCCAAACCCAGTAATATAAAAAGACTAGGCCTTTGCCTAGCTGCTCAAGTGAAGTCCTTAAATGAGCTCTGGTTTGCTTGGACTGGGTGGCCTGGAGTTTGGGGCCAATTGCTGATGGAGAATGGGCTTGGAGATGGAGCCCTAAGGAAGCACATGGGCTGAGAATGGGAAAGGGGGTGATTCCTCGGAGGAAAATCAGAGAACTGTTAGTAGAGAATGGAGAATGGGTGCTGGGTGACAAAAACGGTGTCCAAACTCCAAGCTTGAAAGACTGACAGATGAAGGCTTGGAGCAGAAGGGAAGGACTACAGTCAAGGAATGTGAGTGGAGTTCATTTCAAAAGGGGAAACTTTCTTATTTCTGAGATGAGAGAAAAAGAGAAAATAATAAAAGATAATACATGGGTCACTATGAGAGTTTTGAGACAAATTGTGTTATGTATGGCCCGTCATTTCCCTTTAGGAAACACAGTCAACAGCGTTCTTCCTGATTCACCAGTGGAAGTTTCAACTTGCCCGGCTTTTCTGTGTTGCTGGAGGGTCATTGTTTCCATCTGTGCAGATTTTATGTTTTTTGATTTTTGTGAGTCTCAAAACTTTCATAATGACCCATGCAGATAGAAAATTTGACATGCAAATAGGCTAAACTGAAAGCATAAGTTAAATAGCTTTAATTTTCAAGCAAAAGCCCAAAGGAGAGAATATGCAGCATTTTTGTTAATAATTTAAATCTATTACATCAATGATATTGAAGTATATACAGATAGAAAGTGAAAATAAAATTTGCTAGCATATCAAATGCTTTCATTCTTCATACAGCAGACGTAATCTTTACAAAGCTTAAGCATGAATTTCCTTAACGTATATTCTTCATAACATTTTTTACTTGTACACCATGTCATATAGAACACGTATTATAATTCACGTAACCATTCTACTGAAAAAAGACATTTCAATTACTTCCTGTTTTAAAACGAGAAAGAATGCTACAGTTATCATACACTTAGCTGTTTATTTTTTCCTCAGATACTTGCGCAGCAAATTTCCTTGGAGTGGGGAGTTGTGTTAAAGGAAATGAGCGTCTTGTGTCCCTTAGTGTGCTGCAGAATCGCATTTCATGAGGTACTCACAATGGTCAGTGTGCCCAGCCCCATACGAATGGACTGGTTTCCCCACATGCTCAACGTTGTAGACATTTTATTTCATCAGTGTTGTTAGGGCGAAGGGGGTCCCAGTTCCCTGAACCCAGCTGACCAGGTTCGACTACTTGACTGAGCTAGAAAGTTCAACTGAGGCACGGCAGTAATTGAAAACAAAAATGAATGAAAACAGAAAATAAAATTGGAGCAGCACAGCCCATGTAAATAGAGAGCAAAAGTAACCTGCGCAAGTTTCAGAGGAATGGAGAGAAATTGTATTTAGGATGAACAGAGAGAAAGTTCAGGGCGCTTCCAAAGAGAAGTTTAGAAGCACTTCCTAAGTTGGAAAGGAGTCCCTCTCCTGAAGGAGCAGAGGGGAGAGAAACAGATGCAAAGGCCTGCAGGGGTATAAATACTCTCTCTGGTGTGAAATTGGCTGCAAGTCTTTCACTGGCCTCTCTGCACCCCTAGGCAGTATTGTCCTTTTCTACTGGTCATTGATTGTCTCTTTCTATGGGTCATTGGTTACCTAGGTTACTTCATACTGACATCTTTATGGGCCTTCCAGCCTTCCTGGTTCAGTGGGTCCAGCTCCTCTCCCACCACCTTGAAGCCCCTTTCTTAGTGTCCCTTCTAAAATATCTTCAAGATAACTACCATAACATGCCTGTACTTATGCCAGGGGTCTAAACACTTTAGTCATGTTAATTCATTTAATTTTCACAATAACCCTCTAAGGAAAAAATTTATTATGATGCAGGTTTTTATAAATAGGGAAACTAAGATAGAAAGAGATTAAGTAAACTGCTCAAAGGACATTGTAGAAGTTATATTTGAACCATGAGAACCTGAACTTGAGAACCTTTGTGTCCCAGGGCTGGTCTACATTGCCTTGTGACAGGTTTGATTAACATTTCCTCAACCGTTGTTAACAACTTGTATACATTTGTGTGAGAATTTCATCATGTCCTTCTCTGGAAGATTCTTGATGGTTCTGCCTCAGGATAGAGGTAACAGTGGGAGAATTTATATGAATTTGTACACTTCAGATGGTCTGAGTGGGGAGATTGATTATATACCATATATATATTTTTTGCTCCCTTGACAGTATGTAACCTTCAGAAACTAAAATTGTTAAGTATTAAAAATAAAGGCAGTTGTTTCACCCACTCATGATAACCTAGGTTTTTTTGGGGGGGGGGGGAGACTCTGATGGTTCTAGAATCTAATTTGACCCAGCTGGTTACCATGAAAACCTACCTGATAGTTCTTCTTGAACATCTGGAATGTGGGAAGTGCTTTGACATTACAAGTTTCAGCCAATTCCTGGGCAAGAAAAGAAATGGCATGAATCCACAGTTTTGCTGGACGCTCTCTACACCAAGCGTATTGTCTGGTAACTTCTCAGGAGATATGTCTGGAAGTCTAGGGATGCTATTCCAGCATCCTTGGGCTTTTTCATGCCAGTGCTCTAAGAGATGGGTGAGAGGTGGAGACCACAACAGAACGGAAAGCTGACCGGCTAAATGAGCTCTATTGAAATGATTGCAGGGGGCCCCCAGTGAAACCCAGTATGGAAAGAGCCTACTGCAAAAGTGGGAAAGAATAAACAAATCTCTATAATTCATACTTGAGATGTGGGATGGTGGACTGGTCTAATGTTTTAAGTTGAGGCTTACATGTTTTTCTCTTTTAAGCTCTATCATCTTCACTGCCCATCTTTATTTGTGAAAGATTTAGAGCCAAAGGGCAAGAAAATATGTCAGAATCCTAGTTGTTTTAATCCATCCCCAACTGCTTCTAAATAGAAGTTTCTGCTTATTTTCTTTAGGAGTCAAAAGAAAACTAGCCACCCACAGGACCGCCAGCATTGGTCATCTCTCTGGAACATACCTATCACTTCATTGGGATGAAATCTCGTTCCCTGTCACCCACCACACACATACAGAATTAGAATTTTCATAACCACAGTAACGACAACAACCAATAAACAAAATACTCTTAGGCATCGTGCATGTTTTTGCCCCTTAAAAGACAAAGAGGTGTCATGAAAAGCCAGACAGTAACACATGTTGGTGAGGATGGGGAGAAACCAGAAGTCGTGTACCTTGCTGGTGGGAACATGAGATGATGCAGCCACTTTGGAAAGCAGAGGCTTAGTTCCCCAAGAGTTAAGCAGAGAGTTACATATGATTCAACAATTCTGCTTCTAGATATATACCCAAGAGAAATCAAAACTTTTGTTCACACAGAAACTTGTATGCTCATGTTTATAGCGGTATGATGCATCATGGCTAAAAGGTACAAACAAGACCATCAGTGGATGAGTGGATAAATAAAAGATGGTCCATCCATACAACAGAAAAAGATTTAAGGCAAAAAGGAATACATTACTGATACATTTACAATATAGATGAAGCTTGAAAACTTGAGCTAAGTGCAAGAAGCCAGTTATTGAAGACCATCTAGTCTAGGATTGCTTCTAAGTGAAATGTTCAGAATAAGCAAATCTATAGACAAGACTGGAGATTTATGGTTGCCGAGGGTTGGGGGTGGGAAACGGAGGGAACTGAGTGTGACTGCTAAATACACAGTGGATTTTTATAGAATGATGAAAATATTATAAAACTGATGTGATGGTTACACAACTCTATCCTAGCTGTGTTATATTATAGTATCTAATTCTGAATTCACAGCATCCGAGTCAGCCTTAAGGGCAATTTGCACTGCCACACTTTAATGAAGCTTGAAGGAAATAAAGAAATGGAATCTCTATTATGCTCTGGGCACTATGTCATATTTCATGTATTTTATCTCATGTTTATCATCTGTTTAACAGATGAAGAAACTGAAATTTATAGAGGTTAAATGCTAATAGGTCTCAAAAACATGGTAGGGCAGGAGAGAATAGTAAATAACATTTTTTTTCATTCTAAAGCTCCAATTCAAACTAATGTACGCACCGGCTTCTTGTTATTGAAATTAGCAAACATTAGGAAGAATAATTTTGTAGAGACATTGTGGGTGCCAATAACGCGCATTTTGATTGGGAATGTGAGGCTGATTATTTGGGGGACGGTGGGATGAGGAAGGATGGATCTACAGACATGAGGGAGGGATTTCCTGGAATTCCTTGGGATGTTTTAAAAAGCCATAAAAAGCTTAAAATATAGAAAAAGGAAAGCAAGGTCTATTGAAATGTCGATAATGCATTGAGTTGAGTTGGGTTTTAGAACTTAATTAATACTCTATCACAGCCTTTAGAAGTTAATTAATAATCTATCCAGGGATGAAAATCCTGGTTAGCCTGCCTGGAGCAAGTCTGCTGAGGAAGATTCTGGGGCAGAGTCCAGAGCCAGTGGTATGGAACGTGGGCTGTGATTAGCGAGACCCGTGGCAGCATGAGTGAGGGCAGGGTGGGCAGGAGAGCCACGTGTTTGCTGACC